CTGCAATTCAGAGAGTGACTGCATATGGCACCATTTTTAAGGAAAGTTAATCTCTGCTGGTGCCAAAGGACCCCTTTTACCAGTTCACATTACCTGGGCACAGTTTCTCTAGTCATCAAAAACTCAACTGCATGTGAAACAATTTATATACTGTTACAGAATGTACTTATAAACCATTTTATTATAACTTTGTTAACTAGGCATTCTGTGTGATTGCCATGCCAGCAAATTTAAAGAGCAATTTTCAAATCATGAGGTCAAATTTCTCAATATCACTTGTCAATATAACTCAGAAAACACTGCAACTATGCTAAAGCCATACCATTCCCCCTAATCTGCCCTTATGAGTATAACCTAAATAATCTATTTGAGTAAAATCACCCGTGCATTAGCTGATAGATGTTGATGGCCCGGTCAACATAAAAAGTGTAACAACATGTAAAAAAACAATCCTTAAAAAAAAAAAAAAAGCGATACTGTCCTGAAATAAACCTGTATTAGTAAAAAACAGAGATTGAAACACCTCATTTAGTCACATTAGCAAATTATCACTTTTAAGCAGACAGAAGTGTTTTCAATGTATAATGGAGGATCCAGCGCGCAGCAGTTATTAATAATGACATGTCACGCCTATTTGATTCATGGATACGTAATGCCTAATAAACAATTCCTTGGGAGCAAAGCGCTTTGTCATTCAAATACCTTTGCTTTCTCAAAACTAGCTTGTTGTGCATAGCGATTGTATGGTTGTAATGCTGAAAAAATATGCAAGAGAAAAAAAAAATTGGCCAATTTGATTTACTAGCGTAGAGATTACATGGGTATATTTTATCGTATGCTCCATACATCACTTCATCTCCCAGCATTTCTCACACTATCACACAGAAGCATGTGTGCTATGCTAGCATAGGCTGTCAGATATTAATTTCACTGGCAGGATTCCACCATCCTTGATGCTATTGTTAGCGTGATATGCAAAGCAGCACTGACTTCTCTTCGCTAGAAAATATTTATTTTGGAGATAGGCTGCTGACAAACCGTTCTGAGTCGTTTCATTTATTTCATTTTTATTTTTATGTAATTATTCTGATTTCAACAAATGGGTTAAATGGGTCATTTAGGTAAATTCTACATTTCCTTTCAAGAGACTGCTAAGGGGTTAATCTCACGGTAAGAGATGTGCCTTTAACTCAGTATTGGCTGTTAATTTATTGCTTTCACAGCTCGTCACACCTGTCAGTCACTGGGCTCATATCGTGTTAGCCTTCTGCTAGCGAGAATCTATCTAACCGTAAATATGGGGAGGTGGAGAACCATTACAGGCTATGGAGGGACAGATAGAGGGCAGCAATGAGCTCCTTTAGGATCATGTGTAAAAAATAAATCAAGGCAACTGGACTGGGCTGTATTTTTTTAAAGACATTTCACTGGTCATCTGACTAGCTTTCTCATCTCAGAATTGACAAAGCAAGTCGGATGACCAGTGGAACAGGTTTAAGAAAAATACAGCAAGTCCAGTTGACTTATTTTTTACAGATATACCATGACCTAGATGAATGAGAACTTTCACAGTCCTCTAGAATTTCTTTAGTTTGTTCAGCTAAGATTTGAAAATGAAAACGAGAGGCTGATTGGTTTCTGTGCACTGCTGCTCCAGATTTTGTCTGCTCCAGTTTTGATAAATTGCCTTCACTGTGTATAAAAGTCATTTAAAATCTAGAACATGTTATGGCTTCTAGAGTCCCTGTTCACTCTTGGCATTTTATTGACAAATGTGTTTCACAATTTATAAAGCAATTCATGCTTGTCAGTTGGTGGGCCCACACCCTGTTAGCCTTGCCACTGGCATTAATACTTTGCATTACAGCCACTGCGTAGATATGTCAGAAGTTGCAGAATTACATTAAAGAAGAACGTTTTTTATTAACCCTTGCAGTGGGGCTACCCCTGCACTGAAAGGGTTAACTGCTCGTTCGTGTCTAGGTTAAAAACACAGTTATAGTGACCCAAAGCTCCGAGCCTGGTTCTTCTTAGACCTTCCAACTTCTCCCCCTTCTGCATTGATCTAAGGTCCCATAAATCATCAATGTCTATACGCAGTGTATAGACATGAGGATGCTGAGGAAGATTACAATGCTGCAGTGAACGCTGTGACAGTTGCCTAGTTCGGAGCTTCAAGTGAGTATACTGTATCTTACTGGTATCCACCAGGGATCCTAGATACTTTCTAGTAGAGGAAAAACAACTGACTTGAGGTTTGAAATTCATGGTAAATTAGCCTGATTCCTGTCCTGCAGATATTTCTGATCCACTGGCCAATTCCTCATTCTTTTACGTATATGAAACACAAATGTGCCCACTCTTCACAAAGTAATGCCAGCGGGTCACAAAGAGCATATGTACAACTGTTACCCTCATATCAAGAGGACAGTATCCGGGTCCCATGTTGTAGTCATATCAAGCAGTATGCCCTTCAATATTGGACAGATGCGTCAAACGTGTTGTGGGGAACTCAGAACACCATCCCAGTATAGAAGGGTTCTTATACACTATTAGTGTCCAGGAGATGGACCATATAGTCATCTGATCATTCTGCAGAGGCTTCCAGAGAGCAGTAAGGCTATCTAAAGGGATCCAAATTGCAACAAAATGAAATGATGTGAATAAGCACAGAAAAAGCTTATACTGTACCTAACAATCTATTCCAGGTTACCCAGAACATGTTGGGTTTCTTAAAGATGGGATTTGTTGCTAAATGCTTTTTTGAGTTTAAATACAGTGCTACATTACATGCATATGAGTAGCTTTTCACCTGCAAATCCCAACTCAATTGCAGCTTTAGCCTTCCATTAAAGAATGTTCGAAGCAGCAGGAACAGATCTTATTAGAACTGTCTGCGTCCAAAGCAACAGCAAAGCACAGCAGGTCATACTCACCTGGGAATGGTCACCCACACTACACAATCAAAGGACTCTGAAATCTGCAGACTTGCAATTACAGCACGCTTCAAATGCAAGTAAGATGCAGGAAAGCAAAAGCCCATCTGCACGAGTCCTTCGAGATTTTAGAATAATTTTGGGGAAACATTTTGGTTTACCGCTATATAAAGTAGCAAAGTTTGGATTCCTTTTTAGTATAGTAGTATATATATTTTAGTATATATTTTCTTTTTTATACTTTTGCTTGCCTTTAATTTTCCTTAAATTGCAAATATGCAACAACATTTATGGCTAGCTGTGTATGCTATTTAATTACTGCATGAATTCATCTTCTACATATATATATATCAAAGGTATTGGAGGTATTCTGTCTATAATTACCACAACGATCCTTATTGTTTATAAGGTAATAGAATAAGACTCTACCTCCCCATCTGCTTTGTGAATTTAATAGAGATTGCTATATTAATTATACAGTATATACCCTTCTTGATTTACATAGTGAGACACATTTGGAATGGTGCATGACTATACTCAGATATTTACCATTTATATTTTTTTAATTACACAAAATTAAACATCATTATTTGTCAATACATTTTTTTTATTACAAAACAGGGCTGTGAATACTGTAAAGACATGATAAAGAATGTTTGGGTATTTTCATTGACAAACTGATACATTTAATATTAAATTGTATTGTATGGAATGAATTAATAATGGCATAGGGTGACCTGAAAATGGCTGTTTTTATCATTACAATAGGATATCGACCATCGGTTTAAAACAAGGGGCAATAGCCAAAAAATGTTAAACAGAATTTTTTTTAAATTAAAACATATATCAATAAACCTCCATGGGTCTGACTGGAACAATCATAAAAAAGGTCAAACAAAAATTTAGATCTGAGACTGTTGATGGTAGAAAAATATATAAAACAATATCCTTTATCAGACCAACACCTTAATTTAAATTATTAACAAATATCTAAAATCATCATGGGGGTCCATGCACAATGATAATGCATATATATTTTACAATACCTGCGAGACAGATGACTAATAAATAATTTAAAAAAGAAATACGTCCTGACTCTATTCCCTGCTCTCTACTCCCTACCCATTAATTGTTCCCTATTCTATACAAACATAAAAACATATTTTGGCTTTAGCTATACTTTAAATATGTGAACCCAATTACAAAAAACTCATGTAAGCTTTACCATGATTATGTATCATCAAAAGTCATTTTCAATCTTTTTTAATCTGCAGCTTTCATTGACACTGGTGTTGATGGGCTTTTGATCAAAATGGGTTTTGCATTCCCATATAAGTCTATGGTCGTGGAAAAAAAAAACACATTGAGCAGTAGAATGCAGCTCAGAAGTAAGTCAATTCTGAATTATCTCAGAAGCATCCCAAGCTGATGCCATTGTCACAACCCCAAAGCCCATTGACATATGTCCTTAAAAATATTCCCTGGTGATCCTGCCAGAATGGTTCTTGTTCGGGCACTTTCTGTCACAGGGTGGCAATGCTCTGTCCCTGTCTCCCAACTGTGCCTCAGCATTGTCAACCTTTTGGGTGGACTTCTGATGGAGACTACAATTGGCCGAAAAGGGACTGCAGGAGATCAGTGGCATTGAGATGCAACAAAGGATGAAAATATTTTATCTGAAAATTGTCAGTTGTTTAGCAAACAAAATGTTATTTGGTTATGGTCTACATCTACGTGATGAAAACCTAAAAAAAAATCTCTTTTTTATTCATGAGTACATATAGACATGTATTGATGTATGTTTTTTTTTTACATTTGCCTGGAATACAATTTTAACATGCAGACATACATTTTCACCATCTCAGACTCAAGGCCACTCTGACAAGGAGCATAACAGACTAGCAGACAGGGCAGTCAGGTTAACAAGATGAATTCCAGGATGAAAATTAGAGATGCTTTGCAGGTTGATTGTATCCCTTGGGTCAGCCTGAATGTGTTTGACTAGAGTGTACTTTTAAGAACATGGGGTAACCATATGCTTCTCCTGTCTATTTTTTTCAGACGTTCCCTGTGGGCTCCCTTTCTTCTTTCCTCTCCATCCTCCAGACAAGCTGACAAAGCTTTCAATGCTCAGGTATTTAACAAAATTATATTTGTAGGTAAGGTAGTATAGTAGAGCTAATTTATGCTGGCAGTACATGAGAATAATCTATTATTTGTGTGCATGTAGAAAAAATACTTGACTATGGAATGGGGTGTTTAAGGTATTGTTGAATGTGTAACTCTGCACAAACATACTTAATCCATACATGTTTATCCATTTTATCGCTGGAAAAGTAAGAAAAGAATTTGCGTTTGTGGTTTGAAGCAACAATTTGACTAGTTATGTGCTTGTCCAACTAAAGTCCAACCAGAAAATGCTATTTCTACAGGTAATACTTCCAGTTAATGGTTGGAGCAAATCCTTTTTATTGAGGGGCCCTCACATGTTGAAGATATCACAAACAAAGAATATCTCCAATTTAATTGATAGCCTGCTTCAACCAGTTTTATAAACACACCCAATGTTATTAAAGTGACACTAAACTATAAAGTTAAATATTATAGATGTATTAAAGTACCCTTTTAACAAAAATGTATCTTATTTGTGTATCACTGGGCTATAGATCCTCAAATCATCTCTGAATTGGTGCCGATATTGTCCTTCCTTCTGGAGGGTGGCTATTTTTGTTCCCCATGGTCCCTGTGTGTTGTAAATTAGGCCCCTGCTCCAAGCTTGCTCCCATGATGGACTACAATCTCACATTTAGTTTACTAATTTGCATTGAGATTGTAGTCCATCACAGGAGTGAGCTTGGAGCAGCGACTACTTTACAACACACACAGGGACCATGGGGATCAAAAGTAGCCACCCTCCAGAAGGAAGCACAGTGTCAGCACCAATTCAGAGATGATATGAGGATCTACAGCCGAGTGAATAAATATTATCTACCCCTAATGGTGTATGGGTGCTCCATTCCCACTTTTTAGCCTGTCTGCGTTTCTTCTCCTTGAATATTCCTTAATATTGCGTCTTTTCCTTAGATTATTCAATTCTTTACGTGCCCAGTACACACTAGTTTTTTTTTTGCTGGCAGTGCAAAGAACAGGACTGAAAGTCAAATGGTGGTAGCACATAGCAATCATTTAGAAATCAGTTTACTTTAGGTGGTGGCAACTTTAAGATAAGTTTTTGCAGAAAGCAGCCATTCCCCTTACTTATGTAGCAATACTAGTTTTGGAACAATGTCCCAGAACTAGGGTGTGTTACAGTCTCAGATCATGGAATGACTGCTTCTCAGCCTAAGTAGACAAAAATTTCCTTAAGTAACGAGTCATTTAATATTAACCTATCAACAGCAACACATGGTGGCTGCCTTAATGCCCTCTGCTTATTTCTAGTTTCCTGATATAATTCTAGTTTCCTGATATAATGCTGCTACTTGCTACTTAAGTCATTGACACAGAACATGTATAAAAATAAGGTCTTCTGATTTTCCTCCAACTTTACTAACCTGCATACTTGTTCCAGGTTAGTGATTGAGAAAGTATAGAAGCCAAGCAGCATAACAGACTAGAAAAGAGCATTTGCAGAATGAGGTCAGCGATGGTAGCCCCATATTTCTATCGTAAGCCAGTTTTGCAAAAGATTAAATCTGTTGCTGAACATTGCTCTTGCTCTTACTGATAGCCACATCAAGTGATGATCAAACCCGGGGCTTGCGGACCTAGTTAAAGGACCACTTAATTTGTATTTCCTTAAAAACAAAACAAAAATGAATTTTTGCCTTCATTTGAAAAGTAAAATAAAGGAATACTTTCATATCTATCAAAGCACACCTGTAATGTACAAAAAGCTGAAGCTTCAGATCAGATAGACCGATCTCCTCTAAATAATTTAAACTGCAAAAGTCAAAGGTTAAGCATTACACATTTACTCTGAAGATGGTTTGGGTAACCTGGAGTGTAAGATGAATAGAAAACAGAGAAAAAACAAATCTAAAAGCTCAGAAAGACGTATTAACCCAGTTCTGTTATATATTAATTAAAATGTCTGTAGTAAGTCAGGAGGACTCCTCACATTACTGAAATAGTATTTTTCCAATATTTTTATGATATCATACAAATATACTATGTAAATGGACTAATTTATGAACCGTGTGCAAAGAGCACAATATGGTTGCCCTAGTAACCCATCAGAAACCATCTTTGATCGCCCTACCCAGACGTCTATAATGTCACTTCTGATTGGTTGCTATGGGTAATTACGTTAGTATATGCCTTGATACATGCAACAAAATATAAACAATTGCAAGGGCTTCTGTTGGAGAGAGTAGATTAATTTGCATATGTGATATATAAGGTTAGAAAGACGTACTGTAAATAAAATAAATAAAAAAAAACTAAAGTAAAGCTTATTTGAGCAATTCTAGGGATGTACCAATACCGTGTTTTCAGTATTGAGTACAAGTACCGATATTTTGGTTTCGGCACTTGCCAATACCGAGTACCGATACCTGTGCTTCCGATGGCATGGTGCTGACTTCCGGGGCAATTAGGAAGCCGAGCGGCATGTAATGACATGCTGCCCGGCTTCCTGCTTGCCCTGGAAGCCATTTCCATGTTGTTTGGCCGGCTTGATTGTGATTGGCCGGGAAACCAGCTTCCCAGCCAATCAACATGGAGCCGGCTTCCCGGCCAATCAGGATGGAAGGGTGCAACTTTTTTCTTGGGTAGGGAATTTTTTAGGGATGCACCGATACTGATATTAGTATCGGTGTCGATACCGAGTATTTGGGCGAGTACTTGTACTAACCCAAATGCTTCAATACCTTCCCCAATACCGGAACTTCTGGTCAGAGGAAAATGTACTCTGACCGGCAGTGCCATAGGGGAACAAAGAGCCAGCTTCCTTGGCAATCAGGAAGCCGGGTGGCGAGTAATGACCCACTTCCTGAATGATTGGGAAGCCGGCTCCATGCTGATTGGCTGGAAAGCCGGCTTCCCAGCCAATCAGCATGGATCTGGCTTCCTGGCCAATCAGGAAGCCAGGAGGTGGGTCATTGCTTGCCACCCGGCTTCCTGATTGCCCAGGAAGCCGGCTCCATGTTCCCTTTTCATCTGACCAGAAGCTTTGGGTCACGGGAGGACGCTAGTTTGTGTCCTCCCATGATCCTTAGGAGAACTACGGGGGAAAACACTTACCCCATAGTTTTCCTTTAAGGCTTTGTAAATATAAGCGTCACATCTGATAATTTAAAGTAAACCTGTCAGTGGTGTTACCTTACTGCACCCAGCCTGCTGAATGGACAATGAAGGAGCATCAATATACTGCTTAGGTGCTCTCCCCTCCTATTATCATATATCCTGTGTTAGACTGATAGCATTATGTATTACAATAAAGCCAGATTTCCTATCATTGCTGGCCATTGTTCATTTGATTTTCTAATAGTTAGTAGGATCAAATAGTTTTTCAAATGTAGTGGCGAAATAAATCGGTGGAGCGGGATGGGAATTTTTTTTCAAAGGAACAAAATTCTAACAATGTATGTGGTTTTTGTTTAAGAATTGCCAATTTCATTTCCAAAATCGAATGTTAAAATCAAATGAATTTTGAATGAATGACATGGCATTTGAATGAATGACAAGTCTCTGACGGCATTGATGAATGAATTGTTTGAAGCTGATATAAAGATCTCTGCTTCTACTATAAGGAAATACTATATATCCATGAATTAATACTCGTTTAGTCTGCGAGGTAATGTAATGCAGAGGGCTATTTACCCTATTCCTACTATGCAGAACCAGCAGGCACCATTGGTCCTGCATTGTTTGTGTATAATGGCGTTAGGGAGGAGGTAGTCACAGAAGTGGCTTTGTGGGTCCTCTCATCCATATCGGATGCAGTGGGGAGGAAGCCTGCAGAACTAGGCAATACGATAAGTCGTTCTATCGCCTGTGTGCTTCTAGACTAATCAAGCATTAGATCCTTGATAGAATGGGGGTGGGAAGTAGGGGGCAGGGGGGCACCACCATAGAATAGTGCTGGCTTCAATTGCAGCAAAGAATAATCAGGGTTGTTCTGGGCTGTGCAAATATCAGGACTTGAAAGGGAGAAATGCAAATCCTTGGGCAGGTAAAACAGCTCTCATATATGTATTTTAACTGCGTATTTAGTTGTTTGCCTGGAATCTGGAACTTTAGAATAGCCACATCTCCTGTCTAGACTTCTACCCATTGTTCACTTTCTATAAAATCTATATATAACAGAGCTGAGTGAATTATATGTACAGATACATATATCCTGCAGTGCTGTAATCCTGACAGTGAAGGGAAAGGTCACTGGAAAAGTAGGCCAACACTGACTGCTGCTCATGTAGAGAGGAACAATGCAGTATCAATATAATCCTGACAATATGTATTAATAGATCACTGTATAGAACTCTAATGTCTGATTTCCCGTACTGACAGTGGAGGCAGCCATTGCATATTAATAGAGATCTCATTTTGAATGCTTTGGGGCCACTTTTGAGAAATAAATGTCTTATTCTTTACTCAATGTATGAATTCCTATTTTTATTTCACATATATTTTCTTCCCATTTATATGCCGACTAAGCTGTCCATCAAAACCGACAGTGACAGTGATTGGGACAAACTAAAACTCTACCTGGGTTGAGCAGTAGTAGTAACGGTTTATTTTTTGTAAAATAATTTTTTTTTTAAACCTCATGAATAAAAAAAAAACGTTATAAGCACACCTGTTATAGTTTTTCCTCACCTCTGTCATTGTCACTTTTGATGGACAACATGGTCTGCATGTAAATGTGTAGAAAAATAGAAATAAAAGCAAGTGAAACTATAAAAAAAAATCATTTACTGTATTCTATTATTAAATATATTAACCCCATCAGAATACAACATTCTGATGGAACATAAGTAGGAAAAAAAGCTGTCCATCCAGAAGGAAGGACACCTTCAGAACCAATTCAGAGATTATTTGAGGATCTACAGCCAAGTGATACTTGAATGCATTTGTAAGATTTAACTCCTGGGTTTAGTGTCAGTTTAAGTATAAAAGCCTAGAACCTATGAC